GAACTGGCACCACTGCTATTGAAACTCCACTGCACTCTTCTTCAGATGCAGCAGTATTTCCTGCTTATATTCCAGTGGAAGCATTGAACTGAGGGGACTGGTTTATATTTTGCTGTGTTTCAAGTTTTCATAGAGTGTAGCCCAAAGCTTCACTCAGTGCTTTGGAACCGAAATGCTCTTGTCTATTGTCAGAGAATATACTGGACAACTCCATCTGTTTGTTGTTGTAGGGAATTTACACAGGCCGAGTCCTCACTCTGCAGGAGTTGTTAGTCCAGGTGGGAAAGCTCAACGCTGAAGCTGTGAGAGGTCAGTGGGCCAACCTGTCCTGGGAGCTGCTCTATGCCACCAATGATGACGAGGAGCGCTACAGCATCCAGGCACACCCAGCCCTGCTGCGCAACCTGACCGTGCAGGCGGCCGACCCTCCCCTGGGCTACCCCGTGTACTCCTCGCAGCTCCTGCAGCTGCCTCTCTTCTAGGCTGCCCTTTTTTCAATTATGGTTGTTACTGGTTTGTGTTTTCCCTCTGCACTTTGGGAATCAAATGTCCGTGCTCCCTCCTGCGCTACAGATCTGGTGTTGCTCTCAGGGTGGCGGTGCCAGGCCAGCGCACGTCCTCGGCACAGAGATGGTGCTGGCCAGAACCTTCAGCAGGAAGGAAGTTGGGGGGTGGTTTCTGGCTGCCAGAACACAAAACACCATTGCCTGTGTGGCTGATGAGCCACATGCTGAAATTCTCCAGTTTAGAGAAGAGCAACGTAATTCTGATCGTTATCATCATTCTCATCACTAACATAATTCAGATCATTAGCTATTTTTGATGCATTCTGATTTATTTTTACTTTTTTATTTTTTGTTTTTTCCTTGGACAGGTGACTTGCACTGCCAGTCAGGTTACAGCTCCTTGTAATATTGTCAGCCTCCGAGTTGACAACCAAAGTGTACATAGAACTATTTATATATATATTTTTTTTTTATTCTGGCCTTATTATATTGGACTGAGTTCAGTTCTAGCATTTGTTATATGACTTTCACTGATCTTCTTTGTGTGTAAGCTATCAGCCTTGCTTTAATTAAAGTAAGTTGTAAGGGACAATTTTTACCGAAGTACCTGTTTTGGTAAAAAGAATTTATATAAACCAGTGTGCACTCTGACACATTGATAGCCAGGGTGATTTTACTGATGAAAGAAGTACATGTATATAATTAGGGGACAGAGAAAATTTTAAGAACAAATAGTATGATTTAATCTCCTTCTTCCAGTATCCATATATATGATATATATTATGTATATCTATATGTTGTTACTTGCAACCTCTGGCCACCTCCCTAACCAGTCTTCCACAAATGCAGTGAGAGTTTGATGATGGAGGGGTGGTGAAAATCCAGCTGTTTGTGCCAATAGTAATTTGGTTTTTTTTATTCTCACTACAGGCTGGAACAGACTCAGGCAGCCGGTTTGTAATGTTACAGGTCCAGTTTCCAGTGGCTCATTTATCCTGTTCACTACCACCAGTCTTAGCACAAAACTGCATTTTCTCAGCAGGTCAGTGGTTACACTGCAGGCAAATGCTAAGCAGGGAGTAAGTAATTGTATTTCCTAATCCTACAGAACCAATTTAAATCAGAACTGCTCCCTAACTGCAGCAGTACTGGTTTGGAACACCCAGCCTTGTCTGATTTCAAGCACATTTATTACTTCTCACCTTTAAGACCTTTTCTCTCAGATGAAATTTGCCACAGAACTAAATACTTGGCTGCTGGCTGTTCCTTTTGATAGTGGCCAGAAATTGTTCTTAAAAACTATGCAAGTGGTGTAGTGGATTTCCAGAGCAGGTTGGTGCCATGCTGCACCTGGAAATACAGAGCCATGGAAGAGATGTGGAAGGGACTTAAAGAGAGCACCTATTTCAGCTCCCTCTCACGAGGAACTGACCTGGCAAATGTTTACTCTGATTTAAAACTTCCAATGCGAGGAGTGTCATGAACTCCTCAAGCAGTTCACTCCACTTCTTTTCTACTCTTGCAGCAGCTGAAATGTTGAAGTTATTTCCTAAATCTAATTAACCCTCCCTTGCCTCATTTTAAATCTTTTACTTCTTGTCTTCCGTATGGTCTCAGAAAATTTAATTATCTTTTTTGTAGCAGTCCTTACTCAAAGATGGCTGTAATTTCTGCCCTCATCCTTTGTCTTTTTTAAACTAAATAAACCAGTTGAGAAAAAACTGAAGAGAGCTGTGATCCTGTTCCCTTCCTTTCTCTGGGT